TGTAATGTTTTAAGCTTCTGTGATAGTTTTAATGCAAATTTTTTTAAGATCTTCATAATTCATAAAAAATCCGTAAATACTAGTAATTTTATTATAATACCATATATATATATACTTGATTATTTAGTATATGAAATACTCCAATATCGGAAACACAAATGTCAAATGACTACCAGGTACGTTGAAACAAAAATTGCTTCGGCACGAAAAAATGTCTAATTAATCGAAAATCTGCTCTGTAACTTTTTTCAAAATAAAAAGCATGTGCCCGAGATGAATCTTTTTTTTTTTTTTTTGAATACTTTACTAGACTTTGAGTAATTTTTGCTAATGTAGTAACTAAAAATGCCCAATTAACAAGAATTATTTACTATGTGAATCGATTATTGTAAAAATTGCCGAAAATAAATAACATGTACACGAGCTACAGTAAATCAATTATTTAAATATTTACTAGTCTTTGAATAATTCCCGATAATGTAATAATCAAAAATTCTCAATTAATGAAAAAATTACTCTGTACCTTTTTTATTATACAATGCGAATCATTTACTACAAAAATTTCTTTAAAAAAAATGGCTTGTATATGAGGTGAATCAATTTTTTGATACTAGTATTTTGTTAGTAAAAGTTTGCCGATCAATTTAAGCATAAATTATTTAGTATATCGGAAGCCCTAGGTGAATACGTACTTCCGTAATAAAATTCCATTTTATTTTGGTATGATCAATAAATTTTAAGCATCCAATCAAAATTCAATTTTTGGAATAATTTCAGATTTGATTGGCTATAATACTTTTATTTTATTCCATTTTTATTCTTAATCGAAGTATTCATCGTCCCTGATCTGTGTTTCATGTTGCTCTATCTTGTTGATCTGGTCGTGTAACCTCAGATAAACCAATATTCTTTTCGTGATCTCTTGGTCTTTCGATAAGCTTGTGATTGTTATTTGATCGTAAGTTGAGTAGCATCAGAATGAAAATAGTGATGGAAATAAAAAGTGTAGTTTAGTGTGCATCCTGATAAGAAAATCTGTATTTATAAATGTCGTCTTCACCATTAGAACGTTTTTCGGAATTTCAATTAGTATTCTTTTAGTTTGACTTTATTTAGTGTTTTGTGTATATTTTCAGTTCCCATTTGATATTCAGTTTCTGTTTCATATATTATTGTAGAATTACTAATAAATCTGTATAGTTTAGCCTTTCGTCTTAGTGATGGGGAAAATGCGCATGATATTTCCCTTCGAAGAATATCGGATGTGTGATCAAATATTTACCCAGACTTGCTTTTCTTTTATGTTCATTCATTTTCTTTTCGGAAATTTACAAGACATTTGCATCCGTAATCCTTAATACCGCCTTACAATACGCTCCCTGGTCTAAATTACATATACTTTAATTTTCCCATATAAAATTTAGATGGGATAAAATGCGCATTAATGCGCACGCATGAAACCCATCTCTATTTCGTCTACTTAGAATATACAACGCATATACATATATACAGTACATCTTAATCGTTTATTATAAACTAAACTATCCGCCCGTTATTGTTAACACACACATCTTAATTGTCCCTAACCCGTTTAACAATTACCCTTCCGGAATTGTCTTATCACAGATCCTTAAACCCTACGTTGTACCTTTTTGCATTATTGCTAGTGATGTGCCATTTATATGATACCTGAAATTGTAGCGTTCAGTACGTACTGTTCGTATAGTTCTTTTCTGGCATCTGATTGGCTGGAACAGGTGATCGGCAAAAATTTTAGCGTACAGTACGTTGTGAGGGGCTAAATCGACCCCTAACGTCGAAATATGGTCTCACGGAGATCTATCTATACTAAACTAATCCGAATCAACACTCTAATCCACCAAAACTACTAAACTCTATATGGATCCTAATGGTGGTAGGCACAAAAGAGGGCGTGGGAAGACTTGGTCCGAGTTATTAGGGCCAAATAGAGCTCTAGACTACGTCACGAAGCTCTTACGGGATTACAGGTTAATAATATGAGTTTAAATAATCGGGAAAGGCTCCTAGAGCGAAATGTTTAAAGGATGATAATAGACTCTCTATGAGTCGAACTCTACTGAGTTATTCCAACTCTGAGTTATATTTTATTAAAGACGAGTTAGAAGCCCTTATATAGGGAATTTACAGACTAAAAGGTGAGCAGTTTGCTCTCTTACTTTGCTTACTTCCCTTACTTCCCTTACTTCCCTCACTTTTACTAACCAATTCTAACTATAAAAGGAAAATTCCCATCGTCATAACCAGAAATAATAAAGAATATACTAAAAATAGAAATAAATGGCCAAACACAGCCCAATTTCGGGTGGTACTACGCCAAAAATTATTTTGAACTATAATTCACACTTTCACAACGTACAGTACTGTACGTATAGTACTGTACGCGGCACATCACTAATTATTGCGTTTCCTTATTTACTATCAGAGCTATTTTAGCCCCATAATTCGACGCTCTCCTAACCTGATAGTAACAGCGGTTTGCAAAAAGGTCTGACCTCTGCAGATTATGATATTATGTAAAATCATGAGAAATCGGCCGATTCTAGTAGATTTTCGATTCTTAGAGAATTTTGAAGATTTCGAATAAAATATAGACGTTATTGATTGAAATTCATGATTAATAAGGAATTAAAATCTCGGAACTTTTTCCGCTATCATCATCATGAAATTAAATGGGCACACCTTTTTACAAACAGCCATAATAAAATCTTGCAAGAATTTGTTTTCTTTGAATGTAAAAAAATGGAATCATATATATAATCCTAATATATACTTAATATTTTTTTTAGCAAATGGATACTAGTAAGAATCGAAGAGTTCCATTTTACGGAATAAATTTGTTTTAACGCGAATTTAATAACCTGAAATTTCGTAATTAATAAAAATATCACGTGTCAGAATAAATTTTAAATTTATATTTGTGATTACTAGCGTTGCAAACTTAATTAAATTAATTTGGGTATTATAAAAGTAAAAATCAAAATTAATTAATTATATTTTTGCATTTTTAATAATTTTTGCATTGTTTAAAGGCCGATATGTAAGTATAAGTTTATTTAAAATAAGTACGTACGTACAATAAAAAGCATTACATCGATTAAATATAAAGCTCTTAAAATAGCTTTGTTGATTTCATTTTGCTCATGTAGTGATGGATTATTAATTTTATTTTTGAGCTTTTCTAGTTCACTTGTAATTAATAATTTTGTTTAAAGCAACTCTTGGCAATGCTCTTTTATATCTTTAGGAACATCAGGACAAATATTTGCAGGATGACTTCCATTCTGCAGAACATCCACAGCTCCAATACAATAATAGCAAGCTGCACTACGGTCATTAGTAACATTATTTTAGAGTTCCAATCCGGATAAATCCGTCATCTATTTCTCCGTATCTTAATTATCCGGATAATTAAGACGGATAAACAGATCAGATATATAGTATTAATACATAATATCATATACTAGTTAAAATTTAACATAGCTAAATATAATATAGTTAAATTTAGCTTATTATTATTATTATTATTATTGATTTTTTTTTGTTGTTTTTTTTACTTTCATATTCATTATATGTTTATCCGGATAATTCGACAAATACTCGGATAATTATTCGGATTTTAATAGTAAACCGGGTATCCGGATGGATACTTCTGATAATGAATAGCGGATATTTAATTATTATCCAGATAAACGTTTAATGGATTGGAACGCTACATTATTTGTTAAATAATAATCACAAACTTTTTTGGGTGACCTACATTTTTTCGTTTTTTTTTGTTTTTCTAAGCACATATCGGCTTAAATTGATCATACGATTTATCAATGAAAAATTTATTATATTACTGTAATTTTTGTATTGGTAATATTTTTTTATAAAGTAAATTAACTTGGCATTGAATTTAATTACAGTAAAAGAATAAAAGAACAAATGGGAGTGAGTCTGAAGGTCTTTTTGCAGAGCAGATTTACTTTTTCATGCACATAATAGTTTCGTATTATCTTAAAAAGGGAATAGAATTGTAGTTGGTTACTTTTAAAAAAAGTCAATCAAAATTAGATTCTCACAATTTTTTGAAAAGTACCTTATTTCAAAAGTGTGACATCTACTTCAATTTAGCCAACCTTATTTGCAGCAGTCGCAAATAACTTGGCATATATGTAAGACAGTGTTGGATAATTTGGATTAGAGATTTACATGTATATGTTATTAAAACCTTAAAACCTGATTGCTAATCATCATCATGTTAAGGTCAGTGCACTTTTGATATTTCTTGTTTGGGATATTCCGTCATGGATCATCAAATCAATTGAGCATAAATATATGATGCATGCATATTGCTTGGGATTAGCAACAAGTGAAACTGACTATATATTTAAAATCTTAAAGACTTTTAGGTAATAATATTTAATTGGTTCCTAAAAATATTGGCTTTTTAACTAGCGTTCAGTTAATAATTCAATATAAATTTCTCAATTTAAGCAATTTAGATGAGGTATGGGTCTAATAGAGTCTTTGATCGAAAATTGCACTATGCATAAAGTTCATGTTGACTAATACTTGACTAATGCATTATCTAATGCAACTAAAAGTCCATTGTATTTAACTATGTAAGCACATCGTACGTACATATGTACATTTGTTTGTATGTGCGTAGCCAAATTAAACACAATTATTTTAATGGTGCATACAACATTTTTTAAGGTAAGAACCGATAATTCCTGATACAACTTTTATGTAAGCAGGTAATTCATAACTAATTTAGCAAGTTATTGTTATGATTTATTCCAGCAAAATTTTTTAGGAATTCAGAAGCCATTATAAATAGCTTTTACTATCAATTCAAGATTACTTGATGATTTCCGTTGCTTCTTTAATAACATTTCACTATTAATTACCTACATCCGAAATACTGCATTTTAAAATTACACTCATTTAATTAAGTTTCTTTAAATTTTATAATGATCATCAAATTCTCCATATCATCAAAATACTTCCTGGGAATTACATTGCTGAATTTAATATTTGAAAATTTAGTGAATGCACAAATTCCTCCTACAGACTCTCCTACAAACTCTCCTACAAAACCTCCTACAGACCTTTACGAAGGTAAACAAAATGTTATATCATCCATTTCTGCATCTTTAATTATTTGCTCATATTTAACACATCTTTACAGATGATCCTGCAGGATTCTTGAGCGTGGTTATCATAGGATTCATCTTTGCTTTTCTCGCTCTTGCAGGAATATTTTTTGTGCTTAACAGAATCTATTATAGATGGACTCATAAGCATAAATCTTTGTCGATGGCCCTTAGAGTACCCTTTTACTTGGGCGTATTAGGTAAATCTTTTCCCGCACTATTCGTTTACAATTACCTACTTCTTCCTTATTACTATATTATTTACTGTATTATATCAATACAAATTATTTACTATCACTATTATGGAATTTATTTACATTCACAGATTTAGTTTTCGTTATAAATAACGCTATTAGTATTGTAAGTTATATTATTATAATTATAAATATAAACTTAATTTAATAAAATGACAAATTAACATTTTGATCTTTATTAGGTTCGTCTTGCAATATATCATACCTCATTTTCTGATCAAGTCTGTAAAAGCGTTGCTGCTGTATCAGTTACATTTACACTCATTCATAGGCTGACCATCGCTGGTATTTCTATCATTACATACATGAGGTAAATTTTAATAAAATTTATTAATAAAATTTTTTAAAATATTAAATAACGTATATTCATTATTTTAGAGTATGTCAACAAAAGATATGTGATACTGGTAGATATGATTGGAAAATATTTTTACCTACGACCATCATTTCAGTGATTCTTTCTATTATGTCACTACCAACTTATGGTTCTAATATATATTGGTAAATATTACTATATTATATTATTTCATTTTTATTGTTGCTTAATTCATAAACATTAAAATGCTAAATTTCGAATTTAATTAGGTGCGCCGCAAAAGCAGAGACAATAATGGTTCCAATATTTTCTATTTTTTTAACTTTTTTTGTGCTCTCTATCTGTTTATTCTGTTACGTCCAAACTATCCGATCTATACGTGACATTAAAAAACAACAATCAAAAATTGTTGAGAATCGAGCTAGGAATAGTTCTTATAAAGCACCTATAGAAGAAGTTGAAATTAAAGTCTCTGTAAAGGTTTTGGGTTATATACTTGTATATATGATACAATGGGTAGGTGGTTTGTAATATAATTTTAAATTATAGTTCATTTATAATTAATTCATATATTTATAATTTTTTTTTAGATTCCAGCCATACCATATGATATATATTCATTACTTGGACATACCAGACCTTGGGTTTATTGTATGGTTACTGTGGCGGTTAATATGGGAGTGAGTATTTTTTTATTTATCTTCTCGCTATTAATTAGTTTTTTATTCATTTATCTCTTTTATTTGGTAGAGCATTGGAAATGCAATATTTTATGTAATAAATGAAGGTTGGACTCGTCATGGAAATAGTAATTCTTCTTTGTCATACGAACAAGTAAATCTTAAGGATATGAGTGGTTCAAAGAGTGGATCGAAAGATGGTGGCACTAGTTCCGTTGAAGTTTAGATTAAGTTAATATATGGTTTCATAAATATAAATTTGTTAAAATTGTTGAGAATAAATATTTTAAAATTATGTTTTTTTTTTATATATTATACTGTATTTTAAAAATTTTATATTGTTTAATATCATAATTCTAATATAGGGCTTGGAACTGGTTTTATTTTTCATATGTTAAAACCGATTAAAACCGGGTTTAACATATGAAAAATAAAACCGGTTCCAAACTCTATTCTAATAAAATATCATGTTTCTATTAAATTATTTTGAATTGCATTTACAAGGAACGGAGTGATATGTAATATTACTAAGTATATGGTTTATTATGGCATTTTTAGTGATGTGCGTCCGTAAAATCTCGTAATTAATTGGAAATGCGTTAAATGTAATTAAACATGAAATTCTGCAATTAAACTTCGCGATATTGCATCACATAACGATAGCACTATATTTATATATATAGTATGAGATTTGTTAAACCATAACCAACGTTCAACTTGTATTTTTTATTGCTTAAACAAACTTTTATCTCAATTAAAGTGAATGAGATCAATGCTTTTTTTTTATTATTGTGGTTTAAACAGTTTTTTAACCGTTTTTTAAAACATCGAAGTCTAAGAAAAATTCACTTAAACTGAAAATTTTGCTTTTGATTGATTAATTTAATTCTCAGCTAAGAAATTTTTTTAAAAAAAGACGTTGCCATATAATTTCGAATTTATCAAACGCAAAATATAATTGTTTGCTTTAATTTTTATCAAAAGCTATCGATCGCTATTATATTTTAAATGCGAAATTTCTTATCGGACAATATATCCTTTCATTCTATATTAGGCCACACAAAGTTAATTTTTCGTTCCGCCGACCCATTTTTTCAATTTTTCGAATTTTTTTTTTTTTAGGTTCCAATTGTTTTATTTTTGCCGTTTAATTTTTCCCATAAATTAATTCGGTACCACCCAATGGAGACCTTATTTTTCCGGAATTGTCCGATAGAACTGATAAAAAAAAATTCGATTGCCATGTTATACAAAGCGAAAAATTAACTATGCGTGGCCTTACATATGAATATGAGTCTATTAATCACTGTAAATTAAAAAAAAAAAATCCGACCTACCGATCATTAATTTTGAAATCCATGTAATGCAAAACGAAAAATCAACTCTGCGTGGCCTGAGTTTTACATTCGTTAGTATTGAAAGTCCAAGGTTTACAATATTACATTATGTAATAAGTTTTTTCGAATGAATTATTTGAAGAACCAGAATCCTGTTTTTGTGTTTTTAATAAATCTTATATATTTCTTGGAAATTTTTTTTTTACATTTTAATTGACGACCTTTTAATTGATCGACTAAATCAACAGTCTTCTTCGCAATAGTGGTGAGGTGCTGTTCGATCCGGCAACTTTGTAAGGTTTAAACGGACTTATATTGACGAGAATTTTTCACGAACATGAGAAGAATTTTTACGACTTTTTTTTTTGAATTTTGTAATCATAATACATTTAAATTACACAGTAATATAATTACGTCATAATGTATTAAACCATTTTTTAACAGATTTAAATCAAAAAATCATGATTTTTAAGATTGTGTTTGCCATCCCTAAATTGAACTAACCAAATATGAATTTACTGTCAACTGTCTGGCCTCCAGGGGTCTAGACACTTTTGCAGTAACGTGACCATCACGTGGTGTGGCGTATTTTTTTGCTTTAGTTTAGGGTTTGGGTTCGGGTTCGTGTTAGGGTTCGTGTTAGGGTTTTTAGCTTTATATATTATATGTAAAATTGCATTTCCGACACTTTTTGTTAGTGCTTAAAGGCCGATTTAAACACCAGTTTTCGAGTATTTTCGCTTTTTTCTCTTTTTTTCTTTTGCATACGTGTTTTGTTTTGACGTCGGACTGATCCGGGACGATCAAAATTTACGAATTCCAATTGGTCATTTTCTATACGCCACGTCATGTTACTGCAAAAGTGTCTAGACCCCTGGCGGGGCTCACAGTCTTCAGATAGGGAGCCCTAATTTCCCCCACCGTTTCTGATTGGAGTGGCGATTATTGCTTCTAAAATAAATTACGTTGGTAAAAAAATAAAGTAACTATAATAAAAAAAAATAATAAAAATAACGATAATAAAAAAAAAATAATAAAAATAACGATAATAAAAAAAAAACAATAATAAAAATAACGATAATAAAAAAAATAATAATAAATAATGATAATAAATAACAATAATAAAAAAAATAATAAAACGATAATAAAAAGCGATAAAAAAAAACTGCTTCAAAGTGCATATACAATAATTTATATAATAATTTATAATGAAGAGTTTGCATTTGTATAGTTTTATTAGTACATATCCTGGATTTTTATAAATGAGGGCTAGAGATGCTTTCTCAATCGTGCACATTTTATCTCATATAGGAAAAAAAAAAAAAAAAAAACCAAAGTTCAAAATTTCTTAAGCCCATTTGATTTGTAAGCTGCCATGGATCATAAATATATATACTACAAAATGTTTGAAAAAGCTTAAAAAAAAAAAAAAAAAAAAAAATGTTTTTTTCTAATTTTTTCGATGTTCGATTTTTTCCCGGTGTTCAATTTTTTTCTGCCATCCAATTTTTTTCTGCCGTCCAATTTTTTTTTGACATCTGATTTTTACTTTTATCTTAATAAATTTAACCATTAAATAATAGAAATACTTAATATTATCTTTAAAGCTTTTTTAACATATTATACATGAAAAAATTTC